AATCCCTCCAGGAATGTGATACTTCTTTTGGTCTACTATTTTACCAGGCAAAGGTAACTCGTATGACTTCCATTTACCCTTTTCCATCATAATAGCCCTCACACTACAGGTTAGGGAACAAAAGTGAGGATTCTCCCGAGTACTAAGTATATCTGTCCCAACTATGCATTATGGAACAGGGAAATGGCTACAGTATAAATTCAAGGGCTTACTAGACCCACTGTGAATCAGACCTTCTCTAAAACTGCATTGATCACCTGATCTCCATATGTCCCTACTCTTACTGCAGGGCCAGTAAGAGTCATTTTGGATCCCCTAGAATCAGTGTGAGTTCAAAACCAGTGTTCTGTAGTACAGAAGTGTCTGATCATTTCCCTTCCCCCATGGAACAGTCACTGGGGTAAAAGACCACCTTGGAAGGATAGGAGAAGGACTGACTATAAATTTTTGGTGCATCAGGATCCTTCTCTAAGGTGATCTGGCCTCCCCTTCATTCAAGAGGTTCTGGGCCTGTAAACTGGCTCAAATCCAGGAACTGGTTGAAGGGGCATGATTCCCTGTTACTACAGTTTGAAATAGGTTTCTATTAACTTACTGTTAAATTTTTTCAGTGTCATCAATCTAGCAAAAATTTTGTAGGCTTCCCTTCTGTTTCCCTTGGGGAGCACCATGGCTGATCAGCCAGTGCTGTAAGTCTACACGTATTAGACCATACTGCTCATTGCTCTGTTTCTGCTGTCCATTATGGTAAGTATGTGCATCCTGCCTTTGACAATTAAGTGCTGCCACTTGACTACTGCCACTCTGGGGTCTAGTCAAGCCCATTGCCCTTAAATTTCCCAGTTGTAAAATCTGGCATACAGAGAAGAACAGGGACAGGGCTCTTCGAGGATGCTGGTGCTCCCTCTCACAAATCTTTCTCAGTGTTAGTTAAGGGTACATTTTCTGGGTCATCCCAGTGTTGAGGATTAGGTTTAACATGACAGATCCATTCCAGCATTCGTTTCCCTAAGCCTCTGAATCCCCTCATCCCCAGTAAACTGTGGAATACCAGGCATCTCTAACTCATTCACAGTAAGCCATCTTTTGATCCATACTCGTGCCAACCAAATAAACTACGAACACCTTTGTTTACTCCATGAGCTGCAACATTAAATTCAGAATCCCTACCTTATGGGCCCATATCAGCAAACTCAGCCTGATCCGGGTGTATATTTTTGCCACCATTATCCCACTGTAAAATGCATTCCTACACTTGCCCTCATCAGGCCTCTGCTCATAGAGTCAGAAAGAAAACTTCTTGTGATATATAAGGAATTTAGTGACTTCTCTCAAGAAGTTCTTTGGGAGAATAGCAGACCTCTTCATGGGTCACACTATGTACCTCACCCTTAGGAGCCTTCTGCAATTTCAGCCTGGTTTTTGTGTATTGAAAAAACTATTTCACAATTTTTTATGTTTGATTGTTTTTGCAGTTGGAATCTAACTTAGGACCTTGCAATTGCAAGGGAAGTGCCCTACCACTGAGCCTCAGCCCCAGCAGAATTACAACTTAAAATTTGAATATTTGAATGCCCCAGCCTTGCTCTTTTTGCTTAGGATTGCCTTGGCTGTTCTGGGTCCTTCGTATTTCCATATGCAGTTTAAGATTGTGTTCTCTAGTTCTGTGAAAAGTATCACTGGAATTTTGACGATGACTGCATCGAATCTATAGATTGTTTTTTTGTAATATGACCATTTTAATAATATTAATTCTGCCAATCCATGAACGTGCCCAGTGAGATCTTTCTATCTTCTAGTGCAGTGATGGCAAACCTTTTAGAGACTGAACGTCCAAACTGCAACCCCAGATCCATCTGTTTAATCACAAAGTGCCAACACTGCAGCTAAACCTGAATAATGAGGTGTTAGCTTAGAGAAAATAACTGTTACCCGATGCTTGGCTGCTGGGGCAGCTTGGCTCACCTGCAACAGAGGGCTTTTCGTGTCCACTGCAGCACTGTGCCATAGGTTCGCCGCACTGTTCTAGTGTCTTCAATTTCTTCCTGCAGTGTTGTATAACTTGCATTGTAAATCTTAGTTACATTGATTCCTAGGTTTGTATATTTGTTTAGATACCAAGAATGAAATTGCTTTCTTGATTTCTTTCTCAGCTAATCCATCATTATTAGTACATATGTAGCAAACCTATTGACTTGTAATATTGGGGTGGCATGCCGAGGCTTGAACCCAGAGAGAGCTGAGCTATATACTCCAGCCTTTTTTTTTTTTTTTTTTGCTAAATTGTCCAGGCTAGCCTCAAATCCTCTTGCTTCATATCTAGGATACTAAGTCATTTGCCTTACATATTTTAGATATTAATCTCTTATCAAGTAGATGTATGGTTTGCAAATACTTTCTCCAATTCTATGATTTGTCTATACTTTGCTGTTTTCTTTGTTGTACAGTTTTCAGTTTGATACAATACCATTTGTCTGTTTTTGCTTTTGTTGCCTCTGCCTTTGGATCGTATCCAATAAATACTGCAAAATCAAGTGTTGTGGTATATTTCACTGTTTCTTCCTGGTAGCTTTACAGTTTCAGATTTTCTGTTTACTTCTTTAATGTATTTTGAGTTGATTTTTAGAGATGCTATAAGATAAAAGACCCAATTTCATTCTTCTGCATGTGATTCATTGAAGAGACTATCTTTCCCCATTGTATGTTCTTGACTCCTTCGTTGAAAGGTAATTGACTATAAATGCATGGTTTATTTCTAGCATTTCTATTTTGTTCCATTGGTTATAGGTCTGTTTCTATGCCAATTCCATGCTGTTTTGATTATAAGTACTTTATAACCTATTTGAAACCAGGGAGTGTTAATCCTCTCAACTTTGTCCTTTTGGCCAAGTTTGTTTTGGCATTTTGGAGTTTTTTGTGGTTCCATAAAAATTTAAGGATTTTTTTTTTCTATTTTTGTGAAAAATAACACTGGAATTTTGATATATTGCACTGAATCTGTAGATCACTCCAAGTAGTATGAATATTTTAACAATTTTAATTATTCTAGTCTGTGAAGTCAAGGTATATTTTCACTTACTTTTTTTCTTCAATTCTTTTTATAAATGTTACAAAGTTTTCAGTACATAAATCAATCTTTTGACTCCTTGGTTAAATTGACATCTAATTTTTTTTTTTTTTTTTTTTGGTACTAGGAATGAAACTCAGGACTTGCGCTTGCCAGGCAGGTGCTATGCTGCTGAGCTATATCTCTGGCCCATCTAAATATTTTTTTGTTGTTGTGTTGTAAATGGGATTTTTCTTTAATTTCCTTTTTAGCCAGTTTGTTGTTACTACATAGAAATGCTACTGAATTTTGCCTGTGCAGTCTTAATGGATGTGATGATCACTGTGTAACAAGAAGGGAGGTTGTAGTGTATCTCTGTTTTTTTTCTTTTATTATTGTTACTAACTTTAGAGGGAAGGGGGTTGAAGACAGAGTCTCACTATATAGTCCAGGCTGGCTTTGAACTCACTATATATCCCAGGCTGGCCTCGAACTTGTGGCAATCCTCCTGCCTCAGCCTCCCAGTTACTGGGATTACAGTCATACACCACCATGCCTGGCATGTTTATCACTTTTCCATTCATTCAGCCCATAGATAGATATATATTGTGCAAGACTTGGTTTTAGGCTGTGTAGAGTGCAAAGACAAAGCAACTATAGAGAGCTTCTACACACTAGGGTTTTCCCTTTAAAATCGTAGAAAAGGTTTTAGCCTTTCATAGAATTTTTCTGTGGAAATCCTATGTAGAGCTTTAAAAAAAATGTTCCTTTTTGTTTGGGTTTGGTTTTGTATTGTTGCAGTTTTGATGATTCTGAGGCTTGAACCTGGAGTCTTGTGCACTCTAGGCAAGCAGTCTCCCCTTAGCTGCATACATTTTTCCCTTTCCCTATGATTTGGAATTATGTATATGTCTCCTGAAGATAAGTTCACCTCTGTTTTTTGTACTTTTTTTTTTTTTTGGTTTTTCTCCGTTTACGGGAACCAAACTCACGACCTTGCGCTTGCCAGGCAGGCGCTTTTGCCGCTGAGCTAAATCCCCAGCCCCTGTTTTTTGTACTTTTTAATAACGCTACATGTGGAAAAAATTAACGAAGTCTTGATTTTTTACACTTCTAAATGAATAATTGATTTCCAGTCCAAAGGAGACTGCTGGTATTTTGTATTTGACATCCTTATGTTTTATAATATACTCATTTTTCTTCACATTAAGAACTACTTATACATCACAGCACAAAAGGCTGAAACCATTAGCATTTCTTTACAACAGTTATAACGTGTAATAATAGTGATAATATTACTAATGTTCTCAGTCTGGTTTTTATCCATCCAGTTTTCCTATCATAAGGTCCTCTAGGACAAATATTTTTGTTTCTGTGTCTGGCCTCACTTCTGACTGGCTCAGAAGATACAGTATTCAACCTTAATAGTGTGGAATTTCATTGGATAATTATTCCCCAGAACTTTACATGACTCTCTGTCTCATCATGGAAGTCTTTGAAATGTTACCTTAATACAGTGATTTTCTAGGCACTGTCTGGTTCCATATACAGGTCATGCTCTTAGAGTATAGTATTAGCCCTGTCTGTAAGTATGCGTTTGTCTATGCAATTCTCTTTTTCTCCCCGATACTAGTATAAGCCCTTTGAGCAGGGTAATTTATTTATCAGTCAATTTACAGATAGATCAGTGCCTAACAAAGTAGGTGCTTAATTTGTTGAGTATCTGGGTTTTGGTCTCTTTCTTTAATCTTAACTGTCCCACCCACCCCAGCTTGAGGATTAAATCCAGGGCCTTCACACTGAGCAACATTCTCAACCTTTTTTTATTTTCTTTTTTGAGATAGGATCTTGCTAAATTGCCTGGGCTGGGCTTACACTCACAATTCTCCTGCCTCAGGTTCCCAAAGTCCTGAGATTATATTTACATTGAATTTTTTTTTCTGTTCTTTTCCAGTTTTTCAGAAACCTTGGAATTGGCAGATGATATGGCCATTGATATTCCCCATATTTGGTTGTACCTTGCTGAACTGGTGACCCCCATGTTAAAAGAAGGTGGAATCTCCATGAGAGAACTTATTATGTAAGTTGTACTTGTTTCTTTGATGTATATCAAGTTTAACTGACACAGAACCACCAGCTGGCTCTATAGCATAATGCTTCCTTTTAGTGCCTCTGGAGACTCCTTGATGCAGCCTGTGATTGTAGATGTCTAATTTCATTGTTAAAATGTTACTTAGATCTGCACTAGAGAGGTGTAGCAATCTGATACCGACATCATAGCCCTGTAGTCCATTTAAGGTAGCAATAATTATAAATATGGCTAATGTAAGTGGAAGATGATTGTGTCTAGAAACTAAATCTAGCTCTTGTGTCTACTAGTACTGCAGTGTTATACGAAGTTACATTTTCACATTGTAGTTTGTCAGACAATGACACCTACATAGTACATGCTCACAGTTACAATGAAAGTATTCCTCGATTTGGTTGTGAGTCAGAAATTGATACTACATTGTCAGACTGGTACTTCTGTTCTTCAAAACAGTAGTGTTTCTGCAAAAAGTGCTTATATTCAGAACTCTGCCTACCACTATGTCCCTCTTTGAGATTCACAAAGCGTGTACAGCATATTGAAGATTGTAAGATTTTTATAGTAAAACAGAACATTTTAGATTTTAACTCAGCATTGCTTCTCTTAGTGTTGATATAATTTTGATATTTGTTGGTAACCTATGGGACACAGTTTGAGAAATACTTAAGACTATGAAAAACAGTGATCCCTTTCTTTCATCTATATTTTCAAGCAGAGCTTCCTTTTTTTTTTTTAAAGACAGGGTCTCACTGTGGCTGGTCTCAAACTCGCAGTGATCCTCTTGCCTCTGCTTCCCCAGTGCTGGGATTACAGTCATGCACCACCAAGCCCTGCGGTCAGAACTTGCTTTCTTAAAAGCACTTCATACCTAAGAACTAAGCTTCATAACTTCCTGTTACCGAAGGTGGTTCTCTCCTTTCAGCTTGAAGCAGAGTTTAACAGTTAAAAAAAAAAAATTTACTAATTGACACTGATCTTTGTAATGTGTCTATCTGAAGTGTTTAAGGAAAAAGACAAAACCTACGAATTCTCAAATCCCTTTTCTGTTCCTCAGTGAACCTAAAATCTTGGAACTACTTCTGCTTGAAGGATTTAGAGCATGTCCTGGAGCTTTGGCTTGCCCAGTATTATTTCTGTTGCACACTGTTTGTTTGGCACATGTTGTCTGCCTACTGCTATAGAACAGAGAATTTGATCAGAGGTATTTAATCACAGCTCCTGTCTTTTACAGAGAATTTAGCAAACCTTTACTTCCTGTTGGAAGAGCTGGGGTCTTGCTTTCTGAAATACTGCACCTTCTATGCAAACAAATGGTGAGTGTTCAACTGAGTATCACTCTCAATAACACGTTAGGAAAGACAGTGATTTTGATCTTGGATATTCTGTGAATAGCTTTGGGCTCAATGTGCAAGTACTTCTATTTACTGTAAGCTTTCGAAAAAAAAATGAAGTTGCTGCTTTAAACTTGCTTCTTCCAAAGGTACATTTGTCTTAACAGTGTACTAATATTTTGGGAAAGATTTGTCTGATCTCACTACATTAGGTATATTTCTAAAGACTGTCAATACATTTTACTTGTAATTGTAAGTTTTTGTCTTTTCTTGAAACAAAACGGCTATATCATTAATACTTAATAGATTTAGTGAAAACTACTTTCAGTGTAAGATAGGATTCATAAAGTGATTAATTTTGTTTCTTTTGACTCATAGGATATTAGTCTGATTAGAAGTAGGTGGTAAAAATGACTCCACCTGACAGTGAATTTCTTAAGTTAAATTCATTTTAGTTAACTAAATATTTACTGCATAGTTATTCTCTGCAAAACTCTCTGTTAGGCTCTGTCTAAAAAATAAGCCTTCAAAGAATTTATAGACTAGAGAGGGAAAAAGGCATATCTAAACCAGTCATTTCAAAAGCACACAGAAATGCTTCATTTAGAGTTCTAAGCGGCTGGAGAAGTTTTGTGGCATCACAGAGGGAATTAAATATCTAGGAAGGGAGAGACATCAAAAAAAAATCCACAAAATTCGGCAGTGACTTCCAGCATACTCAAACCTGAGCATAAGATATTGGGATGATAGTTTTATAAGCATTTATTTTTAAAGAAGTGTTTCATTTCTCACTCTGACCTCCAGAAGTCCTTCTGTATCCCACTTATGTAATAGTTATTTGTGGGTTGATTCATTAAGTACCCTGGTTCTGCTGATTGTCTGTTAATATTCTTTGCTTACTGGCACTAAAATTTTTACTGAACTCATCTAGCTTGTGTGTCTAAAATCCTTTTTTTTTGTGCTACTTGATTTTAGTCCTTATTAACTCAAATTGATGGTAATTTTATTTTTAGAAACATAAATTCACATTTCTAAATAAAATCAAATTTTCCTAGAGCACAAGCTCTCACCCAGACAGCTTGATTTCAAGCCCTGGTTGAGTAAGGTTATCAGCTTGGTTTTGGTCAGGTTCTTTCATAAAAGAAATACATACATCCTCTAAGACAGTGGTGGGGAACTTCTGGCACTTGTGTCACAGCAAGCTGCTTGTTATCACTGAACGCTCAAAGGTTCATCATCGCTGCTTTATGATGACAGCTGCAGCCTCAGAGCTGGCGTTCTCCATTGTCAGTGTGACTTTGTTCGTGCCATGCATTTGTATCTCCTCTTATTTTTCCAGATGACAACAGCTCTTCTTTCTTGTTTCTTGGGCTCAGCCTGTGCTCCTTAAAACACTTCTCATCCCTAATTCAGGAACAACAACTGCCTTAAGCATTCTTGTATCAGGAAGTATAAGTGTGACCCACCATGCCGAGGAATTCCAGTGAGACTTGGAATGGCGTTAGTACCTTCTACATCCACAAAGAAACCAGAAAAGGAGACAGTGTTGAATTTATACACCCTGTGTATTGGATCCCTCCCCTTTTTGTGATTATATTAATAAAGCCCAAACGCTAGCTAGCAGATTCCCAGATTAATCAGCTGGTAAATAAATTTTTGAACCATAAACAGAGGTACTTCAGTGATTCACTGTTATTCAGACATCAGTTTGAAAGTCAAGAGTCCTAAGAGACATCATATCAGTAAAGAAAGGTTTTGATTTTTCAGTCTAGGGTTCTTGATCTCAAGCAAGTTTTTTTTTTTTCCTGTTCTTCCAGTGTAAAAGTTAATGAATTGGTCTTACCTCTGTTTTAGAGCCATAAGAAAGTAGGAGCCTTATGGAGGGAGGCTGACCTCAGCTGGAAGGACTTTTTACCAGAAGGGGAAGATGTACATAATTTTCTCTTGGAGCAGGTAAGACAAAGCTATGTATTCTTGTTTGGTAGTAGTTGCTCTATAATGTAGAAGGAATGAAGGTAATTTTATTAGTGTTACTATTTTATTAGTATTTATTAGTCATCAAAATTAGGTCAAAATGGGAATCTTAGTTAAGATATCACTTTAAGTTCATTTTTAATGCCATTCCAACTATATGGTCATTAAAGGGTAGATTAAAAATTTAGCCAGACTTTAAAAAGTTACATGTTTCCATGAAGCACAAGTGAAATTGGTAAGTAAAGCAGGGGTGATACAGCTGCAAGTGTTTTCAGCTGTGAGTCTAAGCGCAAGCACAAGTAGCTAGAAGTTACTCCATGGACTAATGCAGACTAAAATGCTCCTTACACTGGAGGAAGCCCACTGCTTAAAGCTCCACAGATAAATAAGTGCAAGGAAGTTGATACAGTCACACATCCAGAACCTTAGCTAGCCTGCCTTCTGAATTGGTTAATTAGAATCAGAAATGCACAAGGCAGAAGACCCCAGAGTTGAGCATGATGCATTCTGGTCCTAAACAAGGAAATACAGGGCATCAGGTCAAGACAGTTCCAAAACTCATATTAGACCAAAGTTATTTATAGAGAAAAACAACAGAACTCTCAAAATGATCCTGCAAACAAGGAAAACTAAAGCTAAAACAGGGAACAAAATCAGCAGTCAGCAGTAAGGAGAAAAAAATCACCGTAGTAAAATGCAATAAAAAAGCAATCTAAAATTGGCTGTAAGTCTGGATTTTTTTGTTGGTGATGGTGTTTTGTTTTTTGGGGGATGTGTGTTTTTGTTTTGAGAGGTGGTTTTGCTAGCTCAGGTTTTGTATAGCTTAGGTTGATTTTAAACTTGAGATATTCCTCTTCATCTTTCCAAGTGCTGAGATTATAAGCATATATCACCATACCCAACTTAAATATATGGAGTCAAGCTCATTGTTGTGCCCTTTTTAGTCCCAGCTACATGGGAGACTCAGGTAGGAAGATTATTCAGACCTGTCAGTTTGAAAGTCAGGAGTCCTGAGAGACTTACATCATATCAGTAAAGACAGGTTTAGATTTTTCAGTCTAGGGTTCTTGATCTCAAGCAGGGTTTTTTTGTTTGTTTGTTGGTCTTTTCTGTTCTTCTTCCAATGTGAAAGACTTACTTAAGCCCAGGGTCTGGAGGCTAGCAAAGTGAGACCTGTCTCAAAAACAATAAAAAACACAGTAAAATAGGTGCATTGTTCTGGATAAGGACATTATATAAAATACATTTGGGAGTATTCCTCCCATAACAATAAGGATCAGCCTAAAACATAATTTGTGATACATTGTTGGGCACATAGAAAGTGAACAGGTTTTTTTCCAAGAGACAGAAAGAATGAGGGAGAAAGGAATAAGCCAGAAGTAAAACCTGCACTGTGAACAGTAAGCATATATGGAGGGCATGTGACCTGAAGAACATGTTGGCCAATGGACAAATACCATTATAAGTGTTGCCAGAGATCATAGAGGAAGTTTAACTGGTTCCAGTGTAGTGTTAGGCTGACTGGCAGAAAAACCAAGCCAAAATGCTCTTTGGAGAAAATATCCTTAACTTAGATTTCACATACAAACACTTCCTTTTTTTTAAACGTATGCATATTATCTAAATATATGAGTTAACGCAGAGTTCATTCAACATCCAGTGAAACAAGTAACTGTGAATGAGAGAGATTCATAAATGGTAAATGGTAGATTTGCACCTCAAAGTTTGAGGTAATGGAATTATCTGTTTCTCAGAATATAAAATAACCCTAGAGAAAAAGGAGGGAATTACAAAAATGGGCACACAACAAGAGACTAATCAGAATAACTATAGACATTTTCAAAAAAATAGAAACAACACAAAAAGCTAGGTAGAATTCTAAAATAGGATATTTGAAGGACAGAATGAGAAAGTCTAATGTATGTATAATTGGAATCCCACAAAGGAAATTAAATAAGTAGAAAGAGGCAATGTTTGAAAAGACTGTTATAGGCCAGACATGGTGGCACACACCTATAATCTCAGCACTCGGGAGGCTGAGGCAGGAGGATTGCCATGAGTTTGAGGCCAGCCTGGACTACACAGCAAGACCCTGCCTCAAAAAAAAAAAGAAAAAATTAAAAAAAACTTCGTAGTAAAACAAGGCAAGGCAGATGAGGAAGTAATAATCTCAAAGTGCTGAGTAAGCAGCATTTGGTTTAGAATGGTCTGTTCAGCTAACACTAAATGAAACAAAGTAATTACAAAAAGAAAGTAACAGATCAGAAATCAGTGAGACAGAACACAGAAAAGTCAGTGGAGTCCAAAGCCAGTTCTTTTTATTTGTTTGTTTGTTTGTTGAGACAAGGTCTGACTATATTGTTCAGGCTGCCTTGAACTCGCTGTCTGAGTATAGCCTGGCCTCATACTCACCATGATCTTCCCACCTTGGTCTCCTAAGTGCTGGGATTACAGGCATGTACCACCACACCCAGTGTCAAAACTGGTTCTTTGAGAAGACAGAATTGATAAGCCTCTACCTAGACTGATCAGAGACAAATAAATAAATAAATAAAAGAGAAGACACAAATTACAAATAATAAGGATGAAAAAGGTGATAACTACAAATTTTGTACATAAAAGTAGATAAGGAGGGGCTGGGGATTTAGCTCAGCGGCAAAAGCGCCTGCCTGGCAAGCGCAAGGTCGTGAGTTCGGTTCCCGGTACCAGAGAAAAACAAACAAACAAAAAAAAGTAGATAAGGAAATTATATGAATAATCTTTATGCTACTAAATTCAATCTAATAGGAAAGAATGACTTTCTTGAAAGGTATGAAATACTCTCAAGATGCTATAAGTAACTTGAATACTAGTTAAGAAATTAGATTGCTAGTTTAAAATATTCCCACAGGAGCTGGGGATTTAGCTCAGTGGCACAGCGCCTGCCCGGCAAGTGCCAGGTCATGAGTTCGATCCCCAGTACCAGGAAAAAAAAAAAAATGTTCCCACAAAGAAAACCGCAGGCCCGTGGTTTTATTGGCAAATTCTAACAAACATTTAAAGAAAACATGGAACTAATTCAGCAAAGGAATTGTGTGCCAATTCTTCTAGAAAACTGAGAAACTACTTCCCAGAGCACTACATAAGACAAAACATTACTATACTACCAAAACCAAAGATGTTCTAAGAAAATTGGAAGCAATGTTTCTTGTTTACATAAAACTTTTTCTCAACAAAATGTTCAGAAATCAAGTGCAATTATATATAAAAGAGATAAGTATATGATAACACAGTAAGGTTCATCACAGGAATGTAAAGTTGGTTTCATATTCACAAATCAATATATGAATGGAATAGGGAAGATGGTGGAGTCCAAAGCTCCTACAATCCTCCACCATTGAAACAGCTGTTAAACTGGCCTGTCTGTTAGGATGCACTATTTGGGAACTGTGGAGTCTAGTCAAACATGTCCACAGTAGGGAAATTATATTAGTCACTTTCCCAACCCTGGAACAAAATACCCAACAGCACCAAATTAAAGGAAAAAAGATTCATTTTGCTCATGGTTTACAGAGGCTTCTGTCCGTGTTAAGCTGGCTCAGGGCAGAAGCAGCATGTTGGAGGGACATGGCATAGGAAAGTTGCTCAACCTATGGCAGTTAGGAAGCAAAGAGAGGAAGAAGGAGCCAAGATAAGAAAAAATACACTCTGCCAGGTCACACCCCCAGTGCTGCACATTTAGCAATGAACTCATGAATGGATTAATCCACTGAGAATAGCCCCACCTCTGAACACATGAGGCTTTTGGGGGGCTATTTTAGATTTAAACCATAACAGGAATTTTTGATGAGGAAAAATCTGGTAAATTTTGGTGAAATTTTGCATGGAACCTATCAGCCTCCATCCCTGTGGCAGACAGCCAGATAAATGGTAGCACATTGTTTTTAGTGCAGCTTGCTGATGCCAGGTTGCACAGTAAGAACCTTGTCTTTTGAGGATAGTTTTTTGATCTGTCTGGCTGTTGACTAAGAAACCAGTATCGGGGCTGGCTATGGTCTCAGCCCCTTCAAGCTGAAGTGACTTCCCAGGCTGTAGCTATCAAAGTATTTTTTAAAATACAGAATAGCTCTGCTGGTGTAGTGTAGTGGTGTCATGCAAGATTCCCATTTTGGGGCCAGGCATGGTGGTGCATGCCTGTAATCCCAGCACTTGGGAGGATCACCACAGGTTTAAATTCAGCTTGGGCTCCATAGTGAGTTCAAGTCTAGCCCAAACTGTACAGCAAGACTTGTCTCAAAAAAAAGAAAAAACTAGAGCATCTCTTCTTTTTCTTTCTCTTTTTCTCTTCTTATTGAGTCCAGGCATTCAGGCATATCTCAGTAATTTCAGTAAGTGACCACAGAGATTAAAACAAAAAAGAAAACCAGACTTCAGTGACCACACATGACAAAGAATGTAGTCCTTAAAAATAGGTTGGAGCCAGGCACGGTGGTACAGCCCTATAATCTCACCACTCTGGGAGGTTATAGTAGGAGGATGGCAAGTTCAAGCCCAGCCTGGGCAGCTTAGCAATTTAGAGAGACCCTTTCTCAAAATAAAAATTTTAAAAATGAGCTGAAGATATAGCTCAGTTCAAAAGGCCTGGGGTTCACAAGGTTCTAGGTTTGATTCCCAGTACTGCATGTAGGAAAAAAAATTTTCAAAGCAAGTGAGGCAGCAGGAAAGTATGGCTCATTTATGGGAAAAACTAAAGAAACTGACAGAGCTAGGCAAGTCCAAACAGTGGAAGTACTAGACCATAATTTACCTGTCTTACATATGCTTAAATTTCTGAAAAAAAACAGAAGGAAAAAGCTAAAGAAAATCAGGAGAACAATGTATGAACAAACAGAACAGCAATAAAGAAATGAGAATCAAAGTGGAGCCAGGTGTGCTGGCATGTCATGTGATCCTGGCTATTTGGGAGGCTGAGGCAGGAGAATCGCAAGTTGGAGGCAACTTAGTGAGGCCTTGTCTCTAAAAATGCCCTCTCAGAAAAGGAGACCAAAGCAAAGGGTATAGCTTAATGGTAGAGCACTTGCCTAGCATTTGTTTAATCTCAACCCACCCCATCCCCCATAAAAGATTACAAAGTGGAACTAAGTAAAGATTTTGGATCTGGAAAGTTACAGTAGCTGCAAAGTCAACAGACTTGAACATAGGGCAATTGGTATTGCTGGGTCTGAGCTGAAGGGAAAAATAATCAAGAAATGGACAGAACCTGTGGAACACACTCAAGCATACACATTAATTAGTCTTAGGAGAAGAAAGAGGCCGAAAAAGTATTTGAAGAAATAATGAGTGAATACTTCCAAATTTGCTTAAAGTTGTGATTCTACATATTCAGGACTGTTAAGGACCTCCAAGCAGAATAAACTCGAAGAGATCTACATTGGGACAGATGTAATAAAACTGTGCAAACTAAGACAAAGAAAATAAAAACATTCAAAGCTGCAAGAGAGAAGCAACTCCTCACATACAAAAAATCTTGAATAAGTATTAAGCATCAATTTCTCAGAAACCATGGAGGTCGCAAAGCAGTGGAATGTTTAAAGTGCTGAAAAGAAATTTTTCCAACTGAGAGTTCTAATTAACTGACAAAGTGTCCTTCGAAATTGAAAGAGAAATTAAGATTTAAAAATCTAGTTGGGGCCAGGGATATAGCTCAGTGGCACAGCTCCTGCCTGGCAAGCATGAGGTCGTGAGTTCTATTCCCGGTACCAAAAAAAAAAACCTGAAATTTAAAAAAAAATGTGAATAAAAATCTAGGCTGGGGCATGGTGGCTCATGCTGTTACCCCAGTGCTCAGGAGGATGAGGCAGGAGGATTGCTGAGTTCTAGGCAAGTGTGGACTACATAATGAGCTCAAGACCAGCCTGAACTACATAGCAAGACCCTGGGCTGGCCGTATAGGATAGTGTGGAATGCTTGCCAAACTTATGAGGCCCTAGGTTTAGTCCTCAGTATTGCAAGAATGAATGAATAGTAAAAGTGTACGTGTGTTGCCAGTTAGCCGGACCTGTAAGAAATGCTGGAGAGTTCCTTCAGGCTGCAGGAAACAATACTACAGCAACTCAAAGTTACACAAAGAAATGTCTCTGGTAGACATCACTACGTAGGTAAACATAAAAGCTAGTATTACTGTTCTTGTTTTCTAACTCCCTTGGTTTGCTATATGATTAAAAGACAAATCCATAACATAATAATTATAAATCTATGTTATGGCCCCCCGATGTATAAAGATATAAATTATGATAACGTAAAGCTGGTCCTTCATGTAATTACCATATGACTCAGGAGTTCCACTTGTAAGTTATATATAGTCAAGAGAAATAAAAATATGTGGCAATCCAGTTTATGGCAATTCAAATAAAACCGAAAATCAGATTCCAATTCAGTATCGAAATCTAAAGCACCTGCCTGGCAAGTGCAATGTCCTGAGTTTGATTCCCGGTACAAAATCTATATAGTTTTGACCAACTGCTCTGTGGTGATACGAATATTAAACCATAGATTTGCAGAAGGGAGTTAAATTGTACCCTGCCTAGGGCTTCCACCCAGTCCTAAAGAGCTGTCTCAACTCAAAGCAAGATTTAAGTCAAAATGAAGCTCAGAATGGTTAGGAGGAAAGCATACCATAGCCAGAGAGACAATCCTACTGAGTTTGTTTGTTTGTGCTTTTGGGGGCGCTTAAGGAGAGATTGTTGCTCTTATCAGAAGCAGATGCATGTTATGAAAAGTTGGAGAAATATTCAGAAAGACAGTGAAGTGACATTCTTTCAAAACCTAAGCTGCTGGCCCAGGGATATAACTCAGCAGCACAAGGGCCTGCCTGGTAAGCATGAGTTTGATTCCTGGTATGAAAAAAAAAAAAACCTAAGCTACTGATTATTTTGATCTCATGTAAAGTAGAAGGTATGGGGCCAGGGATATAGCTCAGCGGCACAAGTGCCTGCCTGGCAAGTTCAGGGTTCTGAGTTCAGTTCCAGGTACCAAAAAATTAATTAATTATTTAACTAATTACTTAATCAAAAAATAAAGTAGAAGATATGTCCATGGCTTTTTTTTTCCTCTCAGGATGACAATAATATTAAACTATATTAATGTGTTTTAACATTTCATGTTTCAGAAGTTGGACTTTTTAGAGTCTGACAGTTCCTGTTCCTCCGAAGCACTTTCAAAGAAAGAACTCTCTGCTGACGAGTTGTATCAGCGCCTCGAGAAACTCATTATTGAGGAGAAAGCAAATGATGAGCAGATCTTTGACTGGGTAGAGGTATACAGACTACGTCACTCTCTCTGCGCACTCTGCCAAAATGAGGCTGTGGGGTCCTCTCCTCACGTACCATACCCTTTCATTTCATGAGTTTCTAACATTAGTGACAATTAGCTCTTACATGTGTATATTTTAAGGTTATTCTATTTTTACAAAATTTCACAGGCTTTTATAAATCAAGTAAGAAATTTAGAACAAAAGCCATTCTCTGTCATTAGTTTAGGGTATAGTCTATATTTTATCCTTTAAATACTATCCTAAGTAAAGTTAATAAGCAATTTGTAATTACTATGAAATATATTGGCCTACATTTTCATAGAAAGGGCTCCTTCTGGAAATTTTATGCTTTATTTATCTTGTGCTATAGAATATTTGTTTGTTGAGACAAGGTCTTACCATGTAGTTCAGGCTGGCCTTTAACTGCCTAGTAGTAGCCCAGGCTGGCCTCAGACCTTTGGCAATCCTCCTGTCTTAGCAGTGTCCCAAGTGCTGGGATTATAGGCATGTGTTTCCTTGCCTGGAAGTTACATAGCTTTTAAATAATTGTAACAGCCTACCATTGAATCTCTATCTTCCTTTCTAGGTTGGTTTTGGGTTTGGTTTTTTGTTTGTTTTTTTTAATCTTTGTAACCAGACAGTTGGTGCCAAAAATAGCCTGGATTTTCCGCATCTCTCTCAAAGGACATGTGCAAACTGAGCCTTATCCCCAGATACACTCCAACAGTGTAGGGCAAGTGGTATATTGCAGTTTTTATTTTGGACTCTGTGCTTCTGGCAGCCTTAGCACACTGAACTCAAACTGCTTTGTCAGCCACGAATACAAGCTCGTTTATATTCTCTAGCTTTGCTATTTCTCTTCCTTAACATGAGCGTTTGCTTTTTGAACCAAAATGGAGGTTTTTTAAAATGTATATGTTTGCCAGGCTTGATGGCACATGCCTGTAATCCCAGCACTCGGGAGGTGGAGGCAAGAGGATCACCATAAGTTCTATTAGGCCAGCTTCAGCTACATGAATTCAAGGCCAGCCCTCATTACATATTGAGACTCTGTCTCAAAAACAAATTAAAATTAATTTTTTTTTAAAAACCCATGTTTATGTTTACCTTCTTCAATTAGATACTTTTTTTAATATGTGTGTACATTTTGGATTCTGGCTTGGATCTAAGATTAGCTTGCCATCTTTTTCACTTTGCATCATACATTCATTAATATGTCAACCTTTTTCCTCATCCAAGTTATGGATAATATGTATGAATAGGTAGGACCAAGGACAAAGTAATATACCTTCAGGAACCAGTTGCCACCCCAGCTGCTACCCTGTGGACACTTCTGGCTGTTAACCTCTTCATTATTATTTCACATTCACTGTTCTATTGTCTAGTTCTCCTTGTCATCTCACCCACAAGGGAATATCTATCACTAGATAACTCTCATCAAATCCCTTGCTGAAGTCTAGAGAAGTTATGTCTAGAGCTGTCTGAGCTACTAAATACTAATTAAATCAAGAAGAAAAGGTGGTTTTAACATAGCTTACTTTTTGGTGAGTTTTATTTCTCTTAGTGTAACCATCTCTTTCCTAAAACTGCTTCTGGGTTTTTTTTGAGACAGCATCTGGCTATTTAGTTCAGGCTGGTCTTGAACTAATAGCAATCCTCCTGCCTCAGCCTTCCAAGCCTCCATGCTCAGCTCTTTCCTAAAACTTTTAAACTATTCATCTGATAGTTTAGTCTTAAATTCGCGACAGGGTCAGCACTAGGCTTTCCAGTATGTTCACTAGAATATTCCAGATGCTTTTTTCTTTGAAAGTCAGGTCACTGCATATGTAGTACTGTTCATTTTCTCCATGATTTTATATAGATCATCATTTCAATAATTTGGTATTTTATTTTTTCATGCATTGCAAATAATGCTATTTTTACCTCTTCACCCATATCAGCCTTCACTTTTTTATATCAGTATTTATATTGTGTAGTCCATACCAGCAGTTGATGCACCTTATCAAAAAAACCAGGTGTAGTGGTAAATCCCTATAATCCCAGCTTTGTGAGAGATGAGGCAAGAAGATCCAAAGTTCTAGCCCACTGTAGGCAACTTGCAAGACCCTGACTCAGAATTTAAATAGAACTCACAATGAGTGTATCCATTGTGTATCACAATAAATGTCTAAAATTAAAAATGTAAAAGAAAAAAGAGAAAAAGAAAAATGTACTGGGAATATAGTTCAGTCTGAAAACTCCCAGTTCAATTCCCAATACTGCACAAAAGAAAAAGACAATGGGTAAATTCTACCAACTGTAAATTGTACCTAATAAAGAATTTTTTTTAAGGAAAGGACAAAAACATTAATAGTAGTTAATTCCCAATACGCAGAGGTGTTGGTTGCTCTGTATCTAACACCAGCATTATATAACTCTGACATTAAAAGTTCCATCTTCCTTTTTTGCTCTTTTTTTGTTAACATTTTTGCTTAGTCTATATTCTTACTACTTCAGGTCTGATCTCTTGGATACTAGAATTAAATTGTTTGGCTCTATTTGATAGAAGAAATACACGGGGATTTTTTTGTCGGGGGTGCTGCGGATTGAACCCAGGACCTTTGCGCTGAGCTATATCTCCGGGTCCTCTCCCTGCCTCTTTGAGACAGGATCTCACTAAGTGTTTCAGCCAGACTCTCAGCTATTACTCAAAAATAAAGCAGAAGTAACTCTTTGAGCTTAGACCAGCCTGCCTTCAACCCAAATCAGATTATTTTAAAGGATGTGTAAAGCGACACATAAATTGTCATGAAACCTCCCATGTATGGAATTTAGGAGCCTTCTCCCACCTGTAGCCCCTCAGCTTCGGGACTGGTACCACATATTTCTGTTCTGTGGCAAGAACTGGTCATGAACTCTCACTGTACCATAGTGTTCTATGCTAATTCAGAGTAAGATGATCTATGCAAGTAGCCACTGTGCTGTTGTCCCAGAAGTGGTCATCAGTACTGGTATCCCACAGAGCTGGCCATCTGACTCAAAACTGCTCTGCATTTAGTTCCCAGAAGCTACCCAAGTGATGTTGGAGCTTAGGTATTTGAAAGCTAGCTGATTTGCCTCTGTTCAAAAATTCATCAATACTGGGCTGGATGTGTAGCCCAGTTGTGGAGCACTTACCTAACAAGTTTGAGACCCTGGTCCAATCTCCACCACCTACCCCCTAAAATCAACACTAATCTTATCTCTAAATATCTTTGAAATTCTTTGCTTTCTAACACAGAAGTTTATAAAAGACATTTTCAGTTTTTCCTGGTCAGTCATTTAAAGACTGACTCATTGGAAAATGCCATGCCATGCCATGCCATTAAAAGAACCTGGTCTAAGTGTTAAATCAGTAAACCGGCATAAAGAATATGAACTTTGAGAAGTATTTGCAATACCTGTCTAGAAAATACGTTCTTTTGTTTTTCTGCTATACATCTGGCTTAGTATAGTGTATTACAGCAGCAACAAGGTGAATAAAGTTAATTTGGGGGGCATTTTTAATCTACTTCACATCTCTAAGAGGATTTTTTCCTTGCCGTCCTTAGAAAACAATTTCTTATCACCTGAAGGGTTTTTTTAGGGCAATGCTTGAGATTAAGCTTTAATTCAATTAAAATTAAAATAAAAGAGCAGTGTTAGCACAAATACAAACAGCTGCACGGTACTGAGAAAGAGTGGCCTTTAAAATATACTGCAGCTATGCTATATTTTAGTTACTCCTAAATTAATAGACTTGGATAGATCATCTTAGTATGAATTACTTACTGAAGAATAAAGTTCTGAAATGGTTGTTCTTCCAAATGTACATAGCACGTAACACTATAATTGAGCAGAAAATAGCAGTACTATAATAAGCACCCTAAAACCTAAGTACTGCTACTTAGAACATTTTCACATAAAATGGCAGCAACTAAGCTATTTTAAAATGAATTGAATGCTTAATTTTTCTATGGATTTGCAAAAATGTGACTACCTCTGCCCTTAGTACCAGATTAGCCCTGTTTTGGGGAAAGTAAATTTCTCTGGTGTGTAAGAATACCTTTAACTGTTTGGGTTTTTTTGTTTTGTGTTTTTTTTTTTCAACTTCAGGCTAATCTAGATGAGAACCAAATGAGTTCACCTACATTCCTTAGAGCTTTAATGACAGCTGTTTGTAAAGCAGCTATTATAGGTAAGTGACATTTTCTGAAAGCAGCTTTTAACATCTGAAATCCTTATTATGTCAGCTACTGATTATATGGTCTCACTTTATATATTGTCTTCAAAACTTGCCCTGTATAGCTCAGTTGCTATGCAAATGGTTAGCATTTCTGCCTGCACTTCCTGTTTGTCTCAGTCATAGGGACAAGTAGTTTCTCTGCCTGTAAAGAATCTGGATCTACTACTGTATACCTTGTGTTCTCCACTGCAACAAAGTTGTTACATGTTCCTTGGATTTTTTTTTCGCTACATTGTGTGTAGCTTTTTCCTAACTTTTACACCTCCATCATTCAAGGCCACCTCTTTCTTCCCTTCATGGGTTATAAAGAATAGATTGAATATTCTTAACCTATTCTCAAAGGAGGGCTGTTCCCATCAGAAAAGTCATTGTATGTGAATACCTATGTGAGGAAAGAAAATACCAACAGTTTCTCCTGTTCTTTGGTGAATTTATTTTGTATGACAGTTTTATTGATTGTTTATTAATTACATAAATAAACAGAATTGGTTGAAACTCTAAATATTCCAAGTTTTATACAGTATTTAATGATGTTTAATGAGGATATCTCCTTAGCCTCAGATGGAAATCCACATTTCTTTGACTTAAGTTGGGGGGGGGAATCCATCAGCTGAAGATTGTCTCAAAATTTCTGTCTTTGTCATTTCAGACAAATTCAAGCTATTCATTAAATAGCTTTAGCTAGGTGCGGTAGCACATGCCTGTAATCCCTAGCATCCAGAAAAAAGAAACTAATCTGTACTTCATAACTTAAACAGAATAAAAAGACACCTTACACAGCTTTGTACCTCTTGGCACTGAGGAAACTTTTCTCAGTCCCTTTGTATATGCCTTTTCCTCAAAAGACTTACATTAGGTATGTTTTTTGCCGCTGTCACAATTAGCCCTTATCCTCCTCATAATAATACAATGGTCCCAACTCTCAACACTTCTGAATTGACATTTTCCCTTTTCTCATGTGTGTGTGTCTCTGTTTCTGCATATGTCTGTATGTGTGTGTCTGGTGATTCCAGGATTGAACCCAAGGCCTAATGCATGTGTGCCAAGCACCCTAACACTGTTACACCACCCAATCCCTAATTTCCTTTTTGGATGTTTCTTTTTAAGAGACTCACTTGAATTCATACTTCATTTTGATTAATGATATTTGTGATGGCAAATCATAATTATATCGTTTTATGGGTACAGTATGATGTCTTGCTAGAGGTATGTTAGCTTTCCATTACTGTAACAAAATAACTGGGAAAATCAAAGGGAGGAAAGATACATTTTGGATTATGGCACTAGAGGTTTTAGTCAACAGTTGCTTGGTTTTCATTGCTTTGGGCCTGTGACAAGGCAGAACATCATGGTGTCAATCACACAGTGAAGCAAAATGGCTTACCTCATGACATCTGGGAAGTAGAAAGAGGAGGGAAGTAAAGTCCTAATACAACCTTCAAGGGTGCCTTCCCAATGACATAGTTCCCGTCTACCAAACCCCACCTCTTTATATTGCCACTACTTCCTAAGAACACTACAGCCTAGCATCCAGCACATGGGACTTCGGGGGACACTTCAGATCCAAACTATAACAAGGTGTCTACAATGCAGAATGGTTAATTCAAACTAATGAACAAATCTATCACCTTTTTTATTTTTGGTACTGGGAAACAAACTCATGTCCTCAGGCTTATGTGGCAGGCACTGTCCCCCTGAGCTATATCCCCAGCCCACACCATCTTTTTTATATTGAGGCATTTGATGTTGATTTTGTAGGCTTTCATAGAACTACTGTCACTATTTCATTATAATTAAAAATAAGTAATTGAGTTCACTACTCTTGAGGGAAACCCACAACTCGAAATGCATTTCCTCTCCATGTCTTTTTTTCTTTTTGGTACCAGGAATCAAACTCAGGACCTTGTGTTTGCCAGGCAGGTGCTATGCCGCTGAGCTGTATCCCCAGCCTCACCATGTCTTTTACTATTTCTGAGAAAACATCCCATTAAAAATATCAGAGCATTTGGATTTCAAAAATCTTGCCTTGACCTTCTTAACCACCTTTTCCCTTACAGAATCCTGTGGGTTTTTGTGTATTTAGACAATTGGAAATGGTTCTGTGCTAACTCCTTAAATGTAATACTAATTCTTCTATCACCTCTAGCTGATTCTTCTACCTTCAGAGTAGACACTGCTGTTATCAAGCAGAGAGTGCCGATCTTACTCAAGTACCTGGACTCAGATACAGAGAAGGAACTGCAAGCACTTTATGCACTACAAGCATCAGTAGTAAAACTTGATCAACCTGCCAGTAAGTTTACCTTTATTAACCAATGGGTGAGACTTATCGGGGCCACGACTTCAGAGATGACTGGAGGTTTGAAGATAGAAAATAGAAGAATCAGTAATCACTAGTAACAAAAACTGAAATAACCAATGACTTTAACTTTTTTTTTTTTGAGATAAGGGTCTTTTTCTTAGACCAGTTTTAAACTTTTAGGTTCAAGCAGCCCTCCTACCTCAGCCTCCCCAGTAGCTGGAATTGCAGGCGTGCACCACTGCACCCAGCAGAGAGGTTTGTTTTTTATTTATTAATTATTTTTTAAAATTTATTTATTTATCTTTAGACAGGACCTCTCTGTGTTGTGCAGGCTGGTCTCAAGCTCCCAAACTCAAGTGATCCTCTTGCCTCCACCTCCAGAGTAGCTAGAAGTATAGGCAGTGCCTCTGTACCCAACTCCAAATCTGAAGTTTTGTTGTATTTGTACAAGAGATTTAATTGTTATTCTAGGGCAAGTCTGACAAAACTTTCTGCAGTGATGGAAATGTAGAGGTGCCATTCAGTATGGTAACCCATAAACCACAGTTCACATAAATGTGGCTGTTATGATTGAGGAACTGAATTTTTCTTTTTCTTAAATTTAAATAGCCACATGTGGCTAGTGGCTAGCGTATGAGACAGCAAAGATCTGGGGAATAAAAATGGCCAGTGGTCTTGAGGATGATACTCTGCAAGAGCCTTAGGTATCTGACAAAATCCCTACTATTAACTGTGGTGTATTTACCAAGGCATTGTAGAATACTTTCCAGGTTAAAAGTTAACATTAATTCTTGGCTAACCAGACCAAAAAACTAAGGTCAACTGCACTCTCAAGTTTTAGTGATACTGCTTAATTAAGGAATTCTATTAAATCTTGAAGATTTTACTGCAGTTTGTGGAAAGCAGGGGTATATGGTTAACTGAGAGATGATAGCAATGAAGTTCTTAGGCACTTCCTTAGGTTATGGGTTTTGCTAAATTCTCCTTCTAGTGCTTCTGAATCCCTTTGGATGTGCAAGAGTTGAAATAAACTATCCTCAAAGTGTGTAAGTGAAGAGACATACAAATCTGAATCAGCAACTTTGTTTTCCTTCTCTCAAGGTCTTTGAAAGGTCGTGTAACAACATGGGGTTTTTTTCTATATTGTTATATGGTGGGTATGCTAACTTTTCAAATGAGATGGTCAAGTGGTTGGATGAAATTGACAGCAGTGTGCTCAAATTAAAGTAATTGAAATTACTAATTTCAGTAGTCCCTGGAGAGCTATTTAGTTCTAGATTCCATTTTCCTATAAACCACCTAGGGCTTACAGGATGCAAACCGATTTTTCCAGGCATAGTAGCACACTCCTATAATCCCAGTTCTCTGGAGTCTGAGGCAGGAGGGTCACAATTGCAAGGCCAGCCTGAGCAATTTAGCAAGCCCCAGACAGCATCTCCAAATAGAGTAATAAAGTAGATCAGTTCTCCCTGGGTCCAATCCTCAAGACTACCAAAAAATGTGATTTCAATGTTAGCTTTTCTAACATAAATACGAAGATAAATCTAAAGAACAATTTCATATGACTCATTCTAAACCTAACATTCGTTTATTCTGTTGCCCCCCTCCACTAATATGAATCAGAGAGCTGACTGTAAATGTATAAGAGCTCATCCTGAAGAAATGTCTTTTTGGGGGGCTGGGGATTGAACCCAGGATCTTGTACATGCTCAGCAATTGTTTACCACTGAGCTAAAACTGAGTCCTAAGGAATTTGTTATAAAAATATACAAATGTAATCTCTATTGTGACTTAATTATCTCTACTGACTTTCTCTCTTTTAAACATTAGGTTTCCACTGTGAGAGCAAAACAAAATTACTAAAGACAGCTTAGACATTTAAAACAGCAAATAATTTTTCACAGGATAAAATCTAGATAAGATAGCTTTTGCCTATGCTCTCCATATGAATTATCACTATTTGCTTTTCTTTTTTTTTGTTGTTTTTTTGTTTTTTTCCGGTACCGGGAACTGAACTCACGACCTTGAGCTTGCCAGGCAGGCGCTGTGCCACTGACCTAAATCCCCAGCCCCACCATTTGTTTTTCTTTCCATTTTGTGACAGGGTCTTGCTAAGTTGCTTAAGTTGCCAGGCTGGACTCAAACTTTCAGTCTTCCTACCTCAGCCTCCAAGAAATCTAGGATTGTAGGTGTGCACCATCTCACTTGGCTAAGCTTTTCCACTTTTAAAACATAGTATTAGGAAGGAGAATCAGTATAACCTGCCTTTTCCTCCTAAAATCTATAAAAATAATACAGTACTTCAGACTTTCAAACAATGAAGAAAGGTAAAGAAAGTAAAAAGTTACTCTTACACTTAACTTTTTTAAAGCTTGGATTTTTTTGAGACAGGGTCTCACTTTGTAGTGTGGGCTGGCCTTGATCTCACTGTGTACCCCAGGCTGGTCTCAAATTTGCAGCATTCCTCCTGCCTCAGTCTCCCAAGTGCTGGGATCACAGGTGTGCACCACCAGACCTGGCCATGGATTGAGAAATACATAATATAAAATAGATTGAACATTATTCAAATTGAATAAAATAATAGGAATAAAAATAATTTGGACTTCTTAAGAAACATCTTTTCCTCTTATGATGCTATCAAAAGTGAATAAGATGAATTGACCTAGATGCTCTTGCGTAGGACAATGAATGTCATCGTTCATTCATTCATTCATTCATTCCTTTTCCTCACAACTGTAGTGCTCCAAAACCCATGGCTTATTTTTCCCATCTTCCAGATTTGCTCCGGATGTTCTTTGATTGCCTATATGATGAGGAGGTGATATCTGAGGATGCCTTCTACAAATGGGAGAGCAGCAAGGACCCTGCAGAGCAAAATGGGAAGGGCGTGGCCCTGAAATCTGTCACAGCATTTTTCACATGGCTGAGGGAAGCAGAAGAGGAGTCTGAGGATAACTAAAACTTCAAATACACAAAGCAAAACAAAAGAAACAACTTAAGTATTTTTTTAAAAGAGTTTTACGTCTTCGCCAATCACAGTGCAGCAAGGCCAATTCTCACAGAAACCCCCATATGTGCACGAGTGGGAGGGGGAAAGAGAAAAAGGTGATCATGGAGGAAAAAGGTACTGGAAACAAGTAAACTTCAAACCTGAGGGCGGGAGCACTAAAACCAAAATACATGTATTATTTATAGAAAATATTTTCTGTTTTAATCTTTTCTTTTTAAACAAGGACTCATACTTTAAAAAAATATGTTTAGCAAAAAAAAAAAAAAAAAAATGAGAACTCTTAATTTATTTTAAGGACTGCAAATGCCAGTGTGTAATTTTTTAATTTGCAGTTTCTGTAAACAACTTGTATAATAGAAAAACAGAGAAATAAATTTCCCTCCCCTTCAGATGCACCTGTTTGTTTTAAGGCATAGTAGTTAGTCCAGATTTGAGAAGGTTTGGGGTGAACAAAGTAAGAAAGGTTTTTTTTTCTTTTTTTTTTTTTTCTGGCATCAAATCTTCTGCCTGCCTCTCAGTTTGCTTCAGAAAAAAAAAAAAATCACAATAGTAATTAAAACATACATAACCTTGGGACAGAAGGAAATGCTGTGGACCAGAGAACTCCAAGAATTGTTCAAAAAAGTGCTACCCTGGAAAAAGTACTCTTAATACTTTTGAAATCTTTAGAGCAACTTTAAGGCTTGTAAATACATAGAACAAATATTTAAAAAAAAAAAAAAAGAAATTGACTCAGTACTATTTCTTTTCACTTTCAAAATATAAAGAACAAAATAAAGACAAACATTGCAAGTTTAAAAGAAAGTAGAGCGACTTCTCCTTTTGCCAGCTGCTGCATGTACGCCAACAGGTATTGTCTGGCCGTCTTTGCCTTCTCCAAGTCACTCCTGAGGAGCGTGTTGGGGTTGGAGGGTTGTGTGTACGAGTGTGCGTGTGTGTGTGTGTGTGTGTGTGTGTAGTGGGAAAATGTAAGCTACTGCATTAGTAGGGAGGACACCTGTGGGAGTCTAGAAAAAAATTTCCAACAGCAGCTAAAGATATATTTGGGGTAAAAACAAACCAAAGGCTATGGTGTTTTTTGTTTTTCTTGGTTTTTTTCTTCTTTTTTTCTTTTTTCTTTTGAAACAGGGTCTCACTATGCAGTTCAAGCTGACCTTGAACTCAGTGTGTAGCCCCGGCTGGCCTTGAACTCAGTCTCCCAAGTGCTGGGATTACAAGCATGTTCCACCACACCTGGCACAAGGCAATTTCAAATAATTCAAGTGTTCCACTTAATGTCTCAGGTCTAAGGATACTAACTCACAATTCACTTTGAGACTACTACTACCATTGATTTAAAAACCTCCCATCAGTTGCCTGCAATATTTTAAAAATCCAAAGATAACCTTCTAAAGCATGAGAAAAAAAAACAAAACTAACCTACATTATGTTATTTGGTGGGGATGGGGTTTAAGACCAAACCAGTTACTATCTCTACTTAATGAAGAAATCCTGGCTGCTCCCAAAATAAAGTTTTTATTTTTTTATCTTGATAACAACAGCTTCTGCTGGCTTCCATCTCTAAGGAAATATCTGTAATGAGAGACTTGGCAAGACTTGTGAAGTTGAAAAACAGAATAGTCCATAGTAACAACAGGATTTTCTTGAGAGTAGTTGTATACAGTAGAGAACCCTGCTTTGGAACCCAGAGAGTCCATTCCTTGGTGGTGAAGAAGGGGTGTCCTGAAAGTCCCATAGCAGGCATGTGACAGTATCCGTCAATGGCTATTGACCAGGAAAGAACCTCAGACAGTAGAAATGGGCTATCCACCAGTACAGTAGATGTTAGGGACAAGTGTTGGGAATGGAAGAAAAAGAAAAAATACTTTAGAAAAAGGGCTAAAGGATTGAAGGGATCTTAACCTGTAGTACAGTAACAAATAATATTTGAAATCTCACCTATAGCAACTAGTGTAGTGAAAAGATAAACTTTGACTATCATGGAATGTTCAGTAGGATTAGAAGTGTTAGGTAAAGGCAAAATATGAGCAAAATAAAGACAACTGATCCCCATTCATATCAGTTGAACTGATCCCCATTCATATCAGTTGAACTGCAATTCGTTGTCATGATTCCCACCTTCATAGTTTCCTTATTAGAAAGCAGGGTTTGGTAGGTTTTGTTTTAAAGTAATGTGTAACACTGCCAGCATTGCCATGCCTGTACTCCTTTCAGGATACAACCAAAGTTCTTCCACCAATTTTGGCTTTGCAAGCAGGTCCAGTACCTCCTAATTTATTAACTAGAATATTTATACCTATATTCAAACAAACTTACAGCTTTTCAGTAATTTAAAGTCTTGTCATTTCTAATCAAGCAAAGGAAAATGATACCAGTTTTCAAAATTTATGTTAGATTCTTGCATAGAAATATAAACCACTTCTCAGCTGCATCATGAACTAGTTTTATTAAGCAGATACTTAATAGCCTGAAGGTTTAGCTCAGCGGTGGAGCATGTCTTGAGCATGGGGGAGGACTTGTGTTTCATTCTTCTTTTAAATACTGATCATCTAATGTGTAGTAGGTATAGAGGGGATAACAGTGACCAAAGCCATCTTTGGCCTTATGACTCATGTTCTTTAAGGAAATGGAAAGCTAAAGGTTAACATTGCATCATCCTACCCACTAAGAAGTGTCTGTCTCTTATTGTAGCATACCACAGGCCTGCATATCCTGCAGGAATTTAGGCAGAAATGCACTACATGCTCACTGGTTTCAGATAGCACACATACCCCTTTTATTCTAGTTTTGAGAATAACTCCCCCCAAAAAACATAACTGTGTATAACCAAGATATGAGATGATTTATATGTCAAAGAAGCTTTGGAGAATAACATGCTAAATGTTTTTTTAAATGTTTTGTTTTGAAATTTCACACTTAAAAGTTGCAGATTTTATAGAGTTCCATGTATCTCTCATCCACACAGACTGCCTTAGAGTATTTGTCAAAACTATGAAACCAGCATTAGTACATTGATATTATCTAAGCTCTAGACTATTCACATTAGCACTTATGTCCCTTTCCTGGCCCAAGATGCAATCCAGGCTACTATATTGCGTTTATCATCGTGTCTCCTTTGTGTCCTCAGGCCTTAGGCAGTTTAGTCTTTGTTTTTCATAACCTTGACAATTTTGAATAATGATGTGTTTTACACAACATCCCTCAATTTAGGCTTATCCAGTATTTTTCTCATTAAATTGGGGTTACAGATTTGAGGCAAAAATGCTACATAAGTGTCTCAGTTACTTCTCTCTCATTGCTGAGACGAAATATCTGATGCCCAAAATTAAGGAAGGAAAGGTTCATTTAGCATACTGTTGTTGGAGGTTTCACTGTATAATCAGCTGGCTCCAAGGCAGGGTGGCAGGGCACAGGGGCAACACTTCAAGGTCACACCAGACAGCAAAAGCAGCAAGAGCAAAAAAAAAGGGCAGGGAAGCAAGCTTCTTGTATATTGTATGCCAGCTATCCGACCACACCCACACTGTCTCAGTGCTCTCCTCTTGCACGGGCTCAGGATGAATACAAAGTGAAAACCCTGGCTCCCTGCTGAGTCACACAGTTAACCTTCTAAACTTCTCAAGTTGACACAATGAACAACATCCCAGAGCAGTAAGGGCATGTTCTTTTCACCCCAAGATATAGAACTGCTGAGCTGATTTAGTTAAGCTTTTTAGACTCCTCAAGTTGACACAGTGTATCAACCATAAGAATAAGGGAAGTACCCTTCTCATCATACATGAAGCCAGGCATGGTGGCGCACGCCTGTAATCCCAGCACTCGGGAGGCTGAGGCAGGAGGATCTTTGCAAGTTCAAGACCAGCCTAGGCTACAAAGTGAAAGGCCATCCTGAAGTGCATAGTGAGAACCTGTCTCAAAAAGACCAAAAAAAAAAAAAAAAGCATCATATAAGCAGGTACATGATACCTAATTGACATCACCAAGGGTAAGTGGTGATGTTCATCTTGACTACTTGGGTAAAGAGGTATTTCCAGGTTTCAGCTCTCTAGACATACTTTTCCTTGCCCCTTTTTTACTCCAGTCTACCGTGTGTGATATAGCCAGTCACTAAGTCCTGCCCACAGTGGGGAGGGCCTGAGAGTAGGAGAGAATTGGAGTCAGGACTATCTACTTAACTTATTTGGGATTCTCTGCAAGGAAGATTGTCTCTTCTCTCCATTTGTTTCTTTATCCACCCATTCATGTATATGGACATGTGTGGATCTGTGTGTGTGTATGTCTGTATGTTATATCATTATGGACTCATTTATTTTATACTTTGAATTACAATTCAATATCACATTATTTTGTTGTTCAGATTGTTCCAGTTTGGCCAGGAGGAGTATTTGAAATGGGTTTGTCTGTCCTTTTGACAGTGTCCTATTTTTTTTTTTTTAAAGAGCATTTACATCACAAGATGTTATAAGCGTATCTTACATTTTCCTTGCCCAGCCCTCGAGTCAGACATTTCTACAAGAATCCTTGGTTTCTTATAGAAGAAAAGTGTTTAGAAACCAAGATCTGGGCACTAAGGTAGTTCATTAATACTGGGTATCTCAACATTTTGGTCTGAAAATGTTTAAAAGCTCCACTTTTTACTGAAGGCGAGATTTGGCCAGGTGAGTAAACTGCTTTCATACATGAAACACTGGTGGTGTTTTTGTCTTTGTTTGTTTGTTTGTTTTTGAGACAAGTTCTCACCATGTTGTTCAGGCTGGCCTTGAATTCGCTATGCAGCCTAGGCTGGCCTGGAACTCAGAGCAGTACTCCTGCCTCAGCCTCCCCAGTGCTGGGATTACTGGTGTGCACCACTACACCTGGCAAAACATTGATTTTAGAAAACTTTCACAGAACATTGGTTGGGCTGGGAATACAAGTTCAGTGATAGAGCACTTGCCTAGTGTACATAAGGCCCTGAATTTGATCCTGACCCAGTACCACAAGAAAATAAAAGGAAAAAAACATTGATTTTAGAATATATATGAGATTCTGGTACCCAAAAATTCAAACCTACCCACCACTTGTGCTTTTTTTAACATAAAAAAATGGGAACTATACTTTTCTCCTTATGATAGAATTTAACTTCCCCTTAGTAATAGCCTCCTAGCACTTGGGATGCTGAAGTAGGAGGATCACCACAAGTTTGAGGCCA